TACATGCAACAGGCAATTAACAGTTCTCAGGATATACTTCTTGCAATCAACAACTATTCACAGCTGAACAAACACTTCTTCAGAACTATTTTTTCTTCCATTCAGTTGTGTCTGATTTCTCAGAAACTTCCTGGACAAGGCCTGCGGTTTTCTTGGCAAGGTTTTTTTAGAATTGGTTTGCCATTGCCTCCTTCCTAGGGCTGGCCTGAGGTCACCCAGATGGCTTTGTGCCTAAGACTAAAACTTTCAGTGTCCGGTTTTTTAGCCTGATGGTTTAATTGCACCTTCTGTGTTCACTCTCTTATCTTTGCCTCTTCTTCCTGTTGAGATCCAAGTAAAGTCTTGCTAGACTTATTTACTACTGTTATTAGCATAACTACTATTCTGTATAATGATAAGGCTGTCTTTTAAGCAAATTCAAAATAGGAATGCCCATGCCAGGGCTTTTTCATATATGACAAGCACAAATAATTGAAAACCTCTACTATTTACTGCTTTCCTAAGGCCAATGGGTAGTTGGCCATTACCTTTCAGATTACTACCCTTAACTGGAATGCCAGTTTACGAATGGCTGCACACTTCTTTGAATATTTATAAAAAGGCAGGATGCACACATATCTGATCCTTCTTTGGGTACGTCTACATTCTAGGTTCTCAGGCATAGAGCTTTATTTAATTCCTTTTTTTGTGATCCTATTCTGTGACCAAATTTTTATTTGTTTTCATTTTCTGCAGCATCAAATGAATTTTTTTTAAACCAAGAGTTTATTTGAACTGCTAGCTGCAATTTGGCAGTTCAAATCTCACCAGGCTCAAGGTTGACTCAGCCTTCCATCCTTCTGAGATGGATAAAATGAGGACCCAGATTGTTGGGGGCAATATGCCGACTCTGTTAACCGCTTAGAGAGGGCTGTAAAAGCACTATGAAGCGGTATATAAGTCTAAGTGCTATTGCTATTTTAGCATGTTAAATATTTCTGATCTTTGATCAATGACCCCTCAAATACTGCTCAACTTTAAAAAGGTTTAAAGATTCCCCCTGTTCAGTTGTGACCAACTAAAGGGGATGATACAACACATTTCCGATTCTCAGCTGAGGGAACCTGCATTGTCTGAGAGACACTTCCATCAGCCAGCATGAAACTACGGAACACAGTAACTTTCCCATCAAAGTGGTACATATTTACAGTATCTACTTGCATTTTACATGCTTTTGAACTGCTAGATTGGCAAGAGCTGAGGTAGATAAGGGGAGCTCACCCCGTCACTCAATCTTGACTCTCAAATCTCGACTGTCGCTTTTCCAGCTGACAATCTGAGCGTCTTTAAACACTGAGCCATACAAACTACAATTCATCAAGAACTTGAAAACAAATAGGTCCCGTATTTTTCTACTTGCTACAGTTATTTTTAGTTTGTTTCTTTACATTGTATGCTTTATGATTTAATCTTTATTTTGTTAACCACTCAAGGAGAATGACTCATGCCAGCAATATGAGAATTCTATCAAGCTTAGCTCAATAGTATGTAACACTGGAAAGAAAAATTAAAAGCAATTCTGCTGGTTAATACAAATATTCCTCCAATCAGTTCATTAAATATTTAGGATATTTAGCATTGCTATTTTTCTTATTAATATAAGAAATGTTTTAAATAAAACTTTATAAACTTCACCTAGCTAAGGATTTGTCCATTTTCAGAAATAAGAGTTTCAGTTAAATCTCTGAAGGATTTATTTTTACCTCCCACATTTTTTTCATAGCAATCAGAACAGCAGCAGAAAAGTGACATCTTCAAGTACAATCTAGTGATTTAATGCTACGCATTTAGTAAAGATTTATCAGACTTTGCTGTTCCCCCCCAATTTTTTTTTGCAGAAACAAGCAAATATATAACCAGCAGAGAGTGGGTAGATAGTTCCCTATTTCAAACCTCTAACATGAATGTGTAATCTTTTTGCTATTAAGTAACGGAATGCTTAATTAGTAAAATTATACACAAAAATGGAGGACAGTTCACACAGGCTGCAATAGCAAGCACATCAAAGAGGACAGTATTAAGTCAAGGTTAAAGACAAAATACATTTGAAAAAGTACAATGTTCTCTTGGACATAATCTGCTAGTTCAGACTAAATCGCAACAACAATTTTGAATAACAAAGTTATCAGTAAATGTAAGGACTCTTCCTCTGTGCAGAAGGAATGAAACAACAGAAATTTTTTCCCTCTCAATTATAAAGGAAAGCCATTATTTTTTATAATTTTATATGGGATCATCCATGCTGTTTTACTGCATGCCATGCTCTCAGAATCTATTAACATGACAGAATTTAAGATTTAATTTGCAATTTACTATGCTTTGATTTCTCAACATAATTTGTTTTTAAAACACAGATTGGCAATTTGTGGCGCTTCAAACGTTGTTGGACTCCATGAGCTTTAACTAACGAAAGTAAATGGTGAGAGGTAACAGGTATTGCTATCTCACAACACTTGGAGGGTCACCTTCATCCCATAGCTATTCTTGTTGTAGATAAGCACTTCTATAAAAACACAATTCAAAGTTCACTAATGCAGGGGTCACCAACTACTGTGGCCCACTACTGGGCCGTGGCCTATTTGGAATTGGGCCACGTGAGTGCCTGGCTGGAGTGTGTGTTCGCGTGCTCAACATGCGCAAATGGCGGATCGGCGGACACACAGCCCAGTTCCCCTCTCCTCCCCCCCCAGCCGGGCCGCCAAGCTGCAAAGATTGGGAGACCGCTTCATGAATGGAACAGCATTAGGTTTAGTGTACTCTAGAAAATAACAAAAATAAGGAAAAATAATTTTGGCTGCGCAAAGGAAATAAAAACATAGCAAAAGACAAAGCAGTGCATTTGTTTTCATATACACTAATCTAGGGCTTTACTCTCTAAGAAGTGTTTCAGATTGATGGTTTACCTAATCCTAACAGGACTTGATTTAATAATACCTGGATCAGCTACTAAAATATAGACTGTTGCAAGGGTGTTATTTTATTATTTGTGAATTGACATTTTAAACCAAATCTTCAAATTACTTCTGGCAGACTACAGCTTCAGAAGAACTTATTACCCACAACGCTGATTCATTGAGAAGGAGAGAAATTAGCACCTTCCTTCTGCAAATGTATTTCAAATCTCACTTTCCAAAGCACAATTAAATATTAAATAGAATGTTTTAAAAGATCTTCTATTCTACCAGCTATTTCAGACTCAATAAACATATTATAACTTCTATTTCTTTCTACTCAAAACTGATTTTTTAAACTTCATATAAGCTTCATGTATTAATGTATATTTGTGTTTATTATGAAAGGACAAAATAATTTTTTGACAAATATTTTCCCTATCTTGGTTTTTTCAAATACAATACAATACAGATCATTTTCTAAGTAGTACATATTCCAGTTTAAGATTCCATGATCATGTCATATTAAGCAATGTTTGCTTGGGCACCAAAATGTATTCATCCATCCTATAATTTGTAAACCATGCTTTGTTCCTTGGGATAAGTTCAGACATCACACTAATTAAGAAAAAGAAAATAATGTCTGAAAGAGATTTAAGGCAGTAACTGGCTGTTTTTGTTGCTGCTAAAAAAGAATTCCTGCATATTGGCATTTGTTATATGAATAACTGCCATTAATAAGTTTTGACCTGTATTATGAAGGAGCAGCTACTAACAATATTAAATGATCAACTACCCATCCAGAATGATTAAATTTATAGATGTAAAATCACACTAAATTATTTTGTCTAGAAATGAAATTTGCTTTCAATATGTTTCATCACATTTTCATTTCTTGGAATGTGTACTGTACCACATTTTGATCATTTTCTTACAATAGGTTTTCTACCTCTTTAATATAATATAATAACGGAGTTGGAAGGGACCTTGGAGATGATCTAGTCCAACTCCCTGCTTAGACAGGAAACCCTACACCACTTCAGACAAATGGTTATATCTTTAATGTTCTTGGGTGGCTGCATACTTCTAATCTGATTGTAACTATTATTTATATGCATCAAGGTCATCAGATCAGCAACTCTGACCATAAACATTTTGGAATTGCATCATTTATATACTTTATTTATGTATTTTTGTTACATTTATTTGCCACATTTTTCACCATGAGGCTATCATAGATGGCTTACAATAAAAAATATGAAATTAAAAGAGTGTAAACAAAACAGAAGTAAAATAATAGAACAATGAAATAATGAAAAAAAAAATGAGAATACATCAGTATGATAATAAAAGATGATTGGGTGGAGACCAGAAAATGATGGAGTCTGCCATCAATCCAGAGCTACCTCCAGTGTGGAACTTTAGTCCTTGTTTAGATCAAGAATGACTATACCAACATTTTAAATTAAAAAAATTAAAAGCGATTGTATTTCTCCCATGCACAAAATACAGTGTTACAGGTCCTTTAACATCCCCTCCTTAATTCATACACAACAATCACAAAGGTTGATTTGCTTACAATAGTAATCTAGGTTAGGGCAAGCACTTTAAAGCTGAGATATTCCTGAATCTTCATTATATGAATACTGTTTTAAATTCTTTAATTCGATCTTCCTCAATTTGGTACCCTCAAGATATAGTGGACTACAATTCCTAGCATTTCCATCCAGCAACCTAACACATATGTGTGACAGGAGGTTGCTCTAAACAAAAAAAAAACAATATATAAAAGCATGCATTATTCTACCTGCAAGCTATTTCAATGGACTAGTTCACTATGCAGATCAGCCATATTTTACTTCCTACATCAAATCAGGCAACTTCTAGAAAGGTTGTGGGTGCTTCATCACTGCAGGTTTAAGAAGTGGTTGGATGGCCATTTGTCCAGAATGGAATAGGGATTCTTGATTGAGCAGAGGGTTGGACTAGAAGGTCTCTTTCAATTTTGTTATTCTGTATTAGACATGGATCTAGAAAATTTCATCACAGACACTATCTTACCATTGGTCAGCTTCAGGAAGATACACACGTTTTTAATTAATGCATATGTCACAAGATATCTCTTACTAAGAACAATGATCCTTGAGGCACCGAATATTTATGTTTGAAGATATTTATATTAGAATGAATTGTGTGGTCACTATTTCACTTTGTACTATTTTTTTGCTAGGAGTATCTCCTTAAAGACTTTGAATGGATTTGGGAAGTATATAGGTAGTCCTTGATTATGATGGCAATTGGGACAGGAATTTTCATTGCTAAATGATGCAATTGGAAAGCAAGGAAGGCGCAGTGAGGGTGAGGAAGGTGTGTAAATGGTTGGTATGTCATGAGCACAGAGAGACAGGGAAAGTATAAGTTGGAGGGGAGGGTCAGGGAGAATGTGTGAGAGGCATAAGTCAGGATGGGTGTGCGAGGAAGTGAAGGAATATACTAGAGGTACAATGAAGGTCTGGAGATTGCACTGTGCTATGTAAGAAGTACAGGTTGGGGAAGTTGTGTGAGGGTGCCCCAGAGGCACTACATGAGTCTAGACAAGTGTAAGATGGTGTGTGAAAGGCATGGTGTGGTCAGAAAGGTTGCACGAGGTTGCATGAGAAGCATGATTCAGGGAGGGTATATGAGGGTGCATAAGGGTGAAATGTGAGTTGGAAAGGGTGCATGGGGGTATGAGGGAGACATGGTAAGAGTACATGAGTGGCTGGCATCGTGATTTATTGCAGTGAATTGCTATTTTCCCTACCGTGCTTCCCATTGACTTTCTGGGGAAGCCAGCAGGGAAGTGACCATGTGATCATGGGGTGCTGCAAACAGTTGTAAGTACAGATTGATTGCCAAGTACCCAAATCATGACCATGTGACCGCAGAGAGATGGCTGGAAGTCTGGGGGCCAGTTGTTCAGCGCTATCATAATTTCAATCGCTTGTAGCTCAAGGACTACCTGTATTAAAAATAGAAGGGTTACTACACAGCATACAAACCCAATTCTCCTTCTGGTCTTTAATTTGTGGAATACTGATAAATACAACATGAAGTCAATCACACTGCAGATTTCATTACTGAATTACAGAAGAAAGCAGGAAAAGAAGGAAACAGACATAATGTACTAAGAGAATTACAGGGATTTGAAAAGGTCTATCTTGCATTTGCAAAGCTACAGCTTTAAATACAATAATGTTGGGGTTACTCATATATGCAATTATTATTCATAAAAATTCATAAACTACAGATAATCCTCAATTTAGTACCACATTTGGTACTAAATCATGTGGTTATAACCAGCAGGAAAGTTGGAAATTGTGGTCATATGAACATGAGATGCTACAACTGGTCATAAACATGAGCCAGTTGCTATGCCCAAAATGCGGGCAGGGGAGCAACATTTTACAAGGGGCAGAAGTCCTTTACAGGCCATAAAGCACCCCTTCCAAGGCCACTGTAACTCTGAACAATTGTTAAATGACTGATCATAAATCAAGGACTCCCTTTAGTCAACTTTTAGTGTTAGATGTTCTCAAATTATTTTATATACGTATATATAAGATGAGAAGATATTGATGCCATACAAGCATACACATAACCATTAAAATAGAAATCAAACATAATGCACTCACCTGTATAACTTCTATCCCTCTTTTCCTGGAGAAACAAAAGGAGAAAAAAGAAATATATATATATTAGGGAAATACACAACCAGTTATAAGTTTAACATCAGTAAAACAGTATTTGGGATGATTTTACCCCTGAATGATTAAACTTTTAATTCAGCAGAAGAAATCTTTTGATAATTTAAAACGTTTGTGGTTAATTTCTATACTATTTACTGATTTGTGAAGAAGTTCTATTAAAGTTAATGGCATTTAGTTTTGAGCAAAGTAAATATTTGGTTAGAAGAAGGTTTTATAATTCAGTAGAATTACAGTTCAAGCATTTTACAATGTCAATTTCCAAAAGAAAATATAATAAATGCATCAGCATAAAGCAAAACAACCTTTTTAAATGTCAAGGTCTGTTTAAACTACAATTTGGTAGTACAATTAGCATATTTTATACCATACCATACCACACCACACACCACACCACCCCACACCACCCCCCACCCCCCACCCCACACTTTGCATTATACTATACTATACTATACACTACACTACACTACATTATATACTATATACTGGTGATGGCTAACTTTTTCCGGATCAAGTGCCCAAAGCATGTGCGCCCGAACCCCCAAAATGCAATGTGCGCGTGCCCCTGCATGTGCCCCACCCCACACACATTTGCACGTGGCCCCTTGCATGCACCCCACCCCCGCATGTGTTCCGCCCCTAAGACCAGTTGGCCAGTGGGATGTGCGGACATGCGAGTGTGCATGTGCGGACATGCATAAATGTGTGCATGTGTGAACATGCATGCATGCATGCATGAACATGCACACATGCGCAGCAGAGACCCAAAGACCAGCTGGCCGGTGGGAAGCGTGGCATCCCAACACCGGCAGCATGGCAAGAGGTAATATCTTTTTCTTTTGTGAGCTTCTGTTTCGTCATTTGCAGGGAAACAGAAGCTCACAAAAGAAATGCCATGGAGATCTGATCTGGGGCAACAGCCCACGTGCCAGCAGGGAGGCTCTGTGTGCCACTTATGGCACGCGTGCCATAGGTTCGGCATCACGGCTCTAGACCAAATATTTATTCAAAGCATTTCTAATATACAAGAACATATTATGAGTAGTAACTTTTGTCAAGATTGATAGTGAAAGATGATCTGACCTTCAACCTAATCAGGATTCTTTAATGCATAACAAAGCGCATTCTAAATTCTTTTCCTCTTGAACTTGTGATACTCGCAGTCTTTCTTGGATTAGATTAAAAGGGCTTTGGCGGTACAAAGTCAGCAAGGCAGAAACCCTGTTGAAGACTTGGTGTAAACTGGATAAGACCCCCCCACCTCTTAGTATTTAATTTCGAAGTTTTTCATCATGTAGGGGGAAGGTTAGGAAAGGGAGATTATAATAAAGATAATAAATTTTGAAAACCAGAACTTGAACTGTTGTCCCTTCAAATTTTATAAAGGAATGAGATTACTTAAAAGTCTCACAATGAAGAAATAACTTGATATAAAGTCTAAACCATAATCTCGTTGATTGAAGTTTTGACTATTTAAAAAGGAAAATCCATTTTTCTCGTACTATTAGAGCTTGTTACCTAAACAATGCCAAAAAAGAGCTCCGATTCATGATAAATGAGAGATGAAAAAAAACAGAGGAATCTAAATAACTAATCATCCATTGCTTTTGGTAGTGGGATGTTTTGAACTAGATGATTACTTAGTTTCTTTTATTTTTTTTCCGCTGTCAACAGGGTTAACAGTTAAAAATATTTACGGTGGCAATACACACAGGCACAGAGCCAGTAATATCTTTAAGAGGTTCGTACATAATCTACGTGGCAGTATTCTACAATTTTATTAATACACTGAAGCATTTCAGTTCTCCAGCAAATGAAATTAAAATGTTATTTTTTTTAGAAAACTAGTCCTAAAGTGGTCATTCTTGTATTTATTGACTCCAAATTCATTTAACCAACATATTAGATTAAAGGGGCTTTGACAATATAAAGTCAGCAAGGCATATTAAGAGATTCTAAGGAATCTCTTAGAAGAAATAAAAAGTCATGAACTTTGGGAAATTTTATTCGTTTCTTTATAAGGTTTATCTAGCCGCACAACCTGTAAAAATCACAACAATACTATGATACAATATATTTAGACGCTAAATAGTTTATTACTTCCTAAACCTATCGGTTTTATTCTTATTTCTTTGTTAAATTTATTTGCTGCCTATCTTGCCATGGGGCTAATCTAAGAGGTTTACAATAAAAAGGATTACACCAATAAAACGAAAGAAATGAAAAGCGTATAAACAGGTAACAAGAATTTTTTAGGAAACAATCAGAATTAAGTCACTGCATAATACTGAACTTCAAATCTGAATGGCATTAATTTTAGCCACAAAACTTTGTTACAGAAATGCACAGAATTTTTCAAACTCAGAATCTTTCAATTCAGCTCCTTTCAACATAAGGAAAAAATTTACATGGTTATCCCACTCTACTGCCAACCTGCAGCCAGTCTCTTTCACCATGTTTAGACTGTGGTTTCCTGTATTGTGTTTAGGTTTAACATGAGGACAATAAGAAGGATTCCTATTTTCCTAAGAACATTCCAGAATTTAATAAACTCAGCATACAAACATGTGAAAGAGTAGGTTCATGCAATGTACAGGGTTTTTTTTCTTTTTTAAGATATATGGAATATTTTATTTTCATTCAAACAGTACATAAGGATAAAAGTGATATAACTGAAAAAATGAAAAATTGAGCTTGCAGTGATTTATTCAACAAGAATTAGCATACATCATTTCTTTCTGGGACCCATGTAAATATAATTTGTGCAGCTTTTTTCTAATGGTAAGTTCATGTATTGCGACATAAACAATGGTAAGAGAACAACTACTAGATCACCTGATGAAACTTTGTGGTTCTTAGAAACTTTTTTGGCATCTTGCTGTCTGAGGCCTGGCAGAAGCAAGTTAGTGGTTATCTGAAAACTTCTCTTAAGGATGATCTTCTGGACAGTGAAATGATTGATGTACAATTGCTTGACTATCTTTTAGTCTTAAAATCCCTTCCCACACTTATAGGCATATATAACTTTCTTTCTAAAGGTCTCAGAGAGCTTTCAATAAAGACATTGTGGTATCACACCCTTTAACAATGAAAAGCAAATCAAACTAAATGTTTGAGGTTAAAATAAGACATGCCTCTCAAATTTTCTCTAAAAATATTTCAGGATTTAAACTACTCCCTGGCTAGCAGTCAAGGAAACGTGGGGCTGAGCATGGCCATCAAAATAGTTTATTCTGCATACATAACAGCTGCTAAAATCTTGCTTGCTAATTCATACAAATTAAGATTATATGAAAATTAAAATAGGATTTACTTTGCAAGTCAAAATAAATCATGTCTGTTATGATACAGAGAAATTATTAATTCTATGACTGGATTTATATACTGTGTTAATGGTTTGTGTAATCATTGCTTATTGAGTTAATGACAATTAACTGACCTCATATAATATATTGCTCAGACTTATTTCTCTGAGATGGGCAGCCATATAAATGTGACTGATTGATTGATAAATCAATAAATAAATTGAAAACTATAAACAAGGGGTTATAAAATATAGAGAGCAAGTTCATATACTATACAAATGTAATATGATTTTCTTGGTTTTTGTTTGATGCATTTGTATGAACAGACTGTAAACAAAGCAACTGCACTATACATTATTGAATACAGACTATTCAAACAGCAATGGCTACAGGAGTTTTAGAAAATAAAATAACAAGATTCCAATGGAAATTTACATATAAATCTAATTTATATGTAAAAACAAAAGACTAAATTTCTATTTGAGCAGAAGGTAAATTAGGAAAAGTTTGTCCTGAACAACCTAATGATGTATTTGAGAATACATTTATATTACAAGGATTATTGTTTATGATTAATTTATACATCTACAGTATTAATATGTTCATATAAACTCTCTGAATCAAAATTTTCAAATGTTTTTGTATTTTTTCTTTTTTGGTGAATAGGTGTAACAGTATGCATTTCATGAGAGATATTGAAAGGAAACTTGTAGAGGAAAAGTGTTGAAATTCTATTTGAAATCCTTGAAGACCAGTTAGCAAACTTTGCAAAACATACTATATACTAAGATTATCTAGCTACAAATATTCAATATGCTGATGAGCACTATACTGGTTGTTATATCAGCACACAGGAAGAGTATTCTGAACTGGAATGAGTTAATGTTTTTATTTATGCTACTTATACAGCTGTCCATATTACACACAATAATCCTTTAATTTTTAAGATCACCCACTTACCAACTGACCCAAGGCAGCTTACAAAGTATTATAATCAATTGCTTGTGTGTATAATAAATAAACTATTTACAAAAGAACATAACAAGGCATCTCCTTTCTACCTGGAAACTTTCTTTAATCTCAATTTATATTTCCAAGCATCAAAGTGTCTAAGAACATCTAAGTAAAGTCTAAGAATGCTTCTGCTGGTCCTCTGATATATGAATGAACTTCTTAGATTGAAAAAAAAGTTTTAAATTATTTAAACATACTTATAAATGTAAAAGTGGATTATAAATTGAATAAACAAACATGAAGAGAAATTACTGATAGCATTATGTTAGTTAAATGACAAGAAATTATCTTCTTCCAAATGTGCTGTATTACAACTATTATCATGCTGGTCAGCATAACGTGTTGGTGAGTCCTGTAATTTATAATTTTGCCATGCACCTACATAAAAATTAGTAAGGATCTGCATCAAGATTGTTACTTTTTTATATGGCAACATGGAATTAGGAATAGGTGATTATTCAGGGCTATTACTCAGTGTGATATAAATCAAGCTTAAGTATGGACAGAATTGTATAGAAGCAGCCACAGAGTTTCCAAGGTGATTCATTGTACTACAGATACCACATGCTAATGTGTTAATAGATCAAATGACTATGGTAAACTAAAAAAAATCAGAAGGGAAATGATGGGGGCC